TTCCTGCTGCCGCTGCTCAGAGCGCCTTTGGCCTCACATACCCTGTCAGTGGGATTCCACCGCCCTCCTGCTCGAGCTGGCCAAATAACCTGGAGATCGAGATTTCACTGCCCCTCCTGCATCAGCAGCTGGCCCAGAATAGCCTGGAGCTGGATTCGCACCCAGGCCCTGCCTGCTCACCCGACTCAGGGACATTGGTATTGAAGGTATTGCACTCAGATGGCTCCAGTCCTACCTCACTGAACGATCCCACTTCATCTCCCTCCCCAACCACTCCTCTGCCACAGCTTCAGTCACCCAAGGCGTTCCTCAAGGATCAGTACTTGGACCCCTCCTCTCCATCATTTACATCCTGCCCCTCGGTCAGATACTCCGCCACTTCAACCTGGACTTCCACTGCTATGCTGATGACACTCAGATCTACCTCAGCATCAAATCCCTCCATAACCCACCCCTTACCCACATCGATTCCTGTCTGACAGCTATTAAAACTTGGATGCAACATAACCTCCTCAAACTGAACAGCAACAAAACAGAACTCCTCCTAATTGGCTCCAAATCCACCCTCAGCAAGGTCACTAACATAACACTCACCATCGATGGCACCATTGTTTCCCCCTCCAATCAGGCACGCAACCTTGGCGTAATCTTTGACCCCACCCTCTCCCTCGAACCTCACATCCGCCAAACAGTCAAAACCTCATTTTTCCACCTCCGCAATATTGCAAAAATCCTACCCTCTCTCACCCGCCCCGCAGCCGAACGACTAATCCATGCCTTCATTTCCTCCCGCCTTGACTACTGCAACTCACTTCTTTACGGCATCAGCACTACATCCCTCAACAGACTCCAACGGGTTCAAAATACAGCTGCACGTCTCCTCACACATACCAAATCATGGCATCACATCAGCCCAGTCCTCAAAGAGCTCCACTGGCTTCCTGTCTCCCATCGCATCAATTACAAAATTATGGTCCTCACCTACAAAGCACTCCACCATTTGGCCCCCCCTTATCTCACAAACCTTCTCACTCCTTATCAACCCCCACGGTCCCTCAGATCCACCGCAGCCGGACTCCTATCCATTCCCACATCCACACTCTGCAGCTTTGGGAACATAGCCTTCTCAGTGGCAGCTCCTAGGCTCTGGAATTCCCTCCCCCAAGATCTCCGTGACTCTGAGTCCCTCACAGTCTTTCAGTCCCGCCTCAAAACACATCTTTTCAACTCTGTCTACCCATAAGCCCCCCTCCTTTCAATCAATTTCCTCTTGACTGCCTTTTTATTTATTTTACTATACTTACTTGTTTGCCTGTCCTTGTTTGTCTACCCTCCCTCATATTGTAAAGCGTCTTTGAGTTGTGAAAAGCGCTATATAAATAAAATGCATTATCATTATTATTATTATTATTTAATGTTTTATCTCTAAGCTGTACTGTTCACTTCTTCTTTAGCTAAGGGTTAAACAAATGACATTTAAATTTGTGATTTGCAGCAAGAAATAAATACGAGATGATGTTTTTGTGGTTGACTGTTGCCATGGAGAGGGAGAGAAGGGTCGAGAATCTCTGCGAGAGAGACAAGTATTGAAGTGAAAGTGAGACAAAAGTGGAGGAAAGAGATGATGGAGGTTATATGAGGAACAGCTTTAAAGAGGGGTTTTGTTAAAGAGCAAATGAACTGTTGATGTTGTGCAGCAGCTTCTTCTTTATAACAATCTCAAAACCTGCTAGCAACGTACCAGAGTGTCTTTATCTCCATTACATCCTTTGTTATTGATTTATTTTAATGGAGACAACAAAGGTTTCCTGTAGAGCACTCCATGATAAGTTTCCTGAATATTTGTTTCATTTTTGAATGTGCCTGTGAGGTAGTGTGCTGTGCTTTCCATGCTCTTTGCAGGGATAGTTTTGATGGTCTCTTTTCATATGGTACAGTCAGTGCTGAAAAGAGGACACTCTCAATAAGCTGACCTAGTTAAGTATTGTATTTAGTCAATCCATTTGGAAGGTAAAGGGAAGGTTTGCCCATATGTTTGAAAAGCTACAGTAAAGCACTTAATGCTTCTCTATATATGTTTGCCGTCATGGTAGCACAATAGTGAATAACAGGAAAACACAAAACAGGCCAGCAGCAGAACATGGCGTGTCCAATTAGCGGAGAGGGAGAAGAGAGGGAGAAGAGAGAGGGAGAAGAGAGGGAGAAGAGAGGGAGAGCAGCTCTGACTGCCTGATCCCTGGAGAGAGTTGTCCAGTGTGGAGCCAGTGGGCAAATTAACTCAGCGCAGGTCACGCACAGTTCATATCTAACAGACACTCTCATACTGGGCTGCACATAACTGGTGCGTGGGTGCGCATGCGCACCAACCGCCAAAAAAGGAGCACCGGATCATTAGAAAAAAGCGCATTTGCGCACCAACATTGAGAGAGACAGAGAGACTTGAGAGAAGAGAGAGATAGAAAAGAGAGAAGCGAGAGATATTTGCGAGTTAAATGACAATCGTGATACAGAGGATGCGCACCAAGCAACATCTCCAGGTGCTCCTTGGAGCACCAGGGCAAAAAGTTATGTGCAGGGCTGCTCTCATGTCAGACCTGCTGCACTACGTTTTAACAAGTGGTCCTTGCAAATGTGGCACAGATTGAATAAAACCAGATGTAACATGTATATAGACTCATATTGCATTATTTCACTTTTTCACAATTTTTCTTTTTGGATTTACTTGCACTATTTTTTTTTCAGTTTTTCAGTTGTATTGTGTTGCACTGCTGTAGGAGCCTGTGACATAGGATTTTCATCGTCATAACTACACTGTAGCTATGTACACACACACACACACACACACACACACACACACACACACACACACACACACACACACACACACACACACACACACACACACACACATGCACACAATCACAGTTGCTCCTAAACATTTTCCAACTTAAATATGTTCACTTGGCTGCTATTTCAAAACTGTTACTATTGGATGTGTATTTTGTAAATGGTGTACTTTCTACTTTCATCTTTAATATTTGTATGCATACTTCTTTGTCTCTTTACTCGCTGTAACGTGTACATTTCCCTTCTGTGGGACGAATAAAGGTATTTAGACTGATTTAGTCTGCAGCTACTTGGGTATCGCATTATCGGGCAGATATTTATCTTTTGAATGTAATGAAATAAAAATTTTTACTCAAGTACTGTACTTAGATTCCAGGTACTTCTGCTTGATTTGAGTATTTCCATTTTATGAAACTATTACATCACAGAAGAAGAACAATGTATTCTGTAAGTACATTTTTTGGAAAACTTAAATTACTTTGCAGTTTTTTGTATATCTCTCCTGTCAACAGGATGGAGAGTCTAAGAGGTTTTATAAAATGTGATGCCTTATTGTAGATTAAAATACTCAACGTTCAGTGGTGGAATTTATCAAAATATCTTTATTGAAGGTACTTTAACTGAGAATTTCTATTTTACTTTCTACTTTGTTTTCTGTAAAATGTACTTCTGAACTCTATTACATTATTTAATAGCTTTATTTAATTCACTGATTCTGATTATTACTACATAATGTAGATCAATGAATATGATTCATTCCACTTTTGGTACTTCAAATATATAAAATGTTGTTTTGTTTTTTTCTTGTTTAAGTGGAATTATGAATGTTTTTTTTTTTATTACAGGGTATTTTAATTGTGTAGGTTTTGAAGGTCTTAAGTAAATCTTGATATGTAATCTGATCTGAATACCATTCCCACTGGTTAGTCATCAAACTAAAAATCTGAAAACTATTACAGTTTTCTGTATCATTTAATTCCAGCATGCAGACCAACACTGCCCCCCACTGGTGGACTGGTAGGAAAACACTTCAGTTTTTATTAAGGGATATAATTATTTAATCGACTTAAGAAGGTCTTCTTCATACATTACAGAATAAAGCGGAGCTCCTATAGAAATGGCAGAGGATTAAGAGGTTTTCCTTATGGGATCATTCAAGGCATGCATCTGCTTAAGTGCAGCTATTAGCTCGCGCCCTGCTGTTGTAAATACAAAAGGTTGACGCGTGTCAACCCCCTCAAACTGCGCACGAGCCTTCTTCCATCATCCAACTCAGCACGCCATGACAGTATGGGCACGTGTTTCTTCACACCTCACACACAAATGGCTACACATACGGAGATACGAAGGGGTGAAGAGTTTGAGGAAAGTTTTTTTATCAACAGGAATCTCCCTAACCAAACTGAAGTATAATTGGATTTTTAATTGAAACACAAACAGCATTTACATACTATAGTCATTGTCCTCACGCTCAGCAGGTTGAGTAAATACTGGCCTAATAGGCTACCTAATAAAATAGGTATTACAATAGGTAATAAAATACATTTAATCTTGGAAAACTGTTTAAAATAGGCCAATTTCTTGCGAGAGATGCTTTTTATTTTACATACAAATGGAAATGTATGGCAAACCCCTTCCAGATCATGTATCAGAAAACGAACTGATCCCATTAGAAATACTCTCTGGGGTTTCAACACAGGAGAAGATGCCTTAATATGTAAAATACCTGTTTCATCCCTCTATTAGTAGATCTCCTAAATCTTTTTTGTTTAACTCAATAAAAATAAGGAGGGTGTAAAATGAGGGGCTGTGTTGCACATAATGTACATGCACTTTATGTTGACGTGTCTGTGTTGTGCACGTCTGTCATGATATATATTTATTTTATATTGTTTATTTTCCAAAACACATTTTGCTGGTGATAGATTACCTTATCTCGATTATAAGGTCATTCTTAAGAAACAAAGTGGCCATATGGCTGGAGTTTGCCTAAGTGTGACTTCGCACCTGAACACCATGGCGCATGGAGACACTTGGGGACGGGTGAAAGCGCAATTTGGCCCGGGCTGCCGGGCCCGGATAAATAGGAGGTTCCTGCCTTCAGCCACACTTCCTCTCAAGACTCCAAGCAGGACTAACCAACACAAGAAACCATGGAGGCTATGAATAACAACGTTGGATTACCTTCAGTTTTTTCTCATGGAAACAATGGGACTCAGCAGTCCGGTCATATGTGGAGACCATGGACTGGAACAGAGAACAACAATACCGCACACATGGTGAGTGTAGACGACATGATCTGACTTTTTAAGTTATTTGTAAATGTATTTAAACACGTGCTGTTCGATGGATAAAGAACTTAACAAGGTTCTTTTGTTTTAACTTCCAGGCTCACTCTATTCAAGGAGACATTTCTGCTGCACAAGACCTCAAAGCTTCTCAGGTCGTTCACCCAGTGAAGTAAGTACAGTTTGGTTCATTCAATGATCTTTTTCTTATGCAGGTTTTTTGTACATTTGTCTTATAGTCTTTTCTCTTTTTAAAGGTTGTACTGGCCAAAATCAAGATGTTTCGATTATCTGTACCAGGATGCAGAAATGCTCCTGCGCAACTATCCCGTCCAAGCGACCATCTGCCTTTACTCAGACTCCAGCAGCGATGAAGACAGCGATGATGATGAAGAGGAGGAGATGGAGAAGGAGCTCAACTAAATATGGCTCTCTCAAGCCTTCAACAGCAAATTGCTGCATAATGTGATAATATATTTAATAATAACTTATTGCTGTAAATATGTAAATATGCCTTTTTTTTTACTTCTTCACCAAACAAGAATGTGAATCGTTAAGTTATTATTTTGACATGTCTACATCTTTTGTACTTTGCTGAGATTTGCAATAAAATGCAAAACGAATGTCGTTGTCTCGGGCTCTATTATTAATATGAAACAGGGTTTTTGTAAACCAGTGACACACTCGAAATCAAAGCAGTTATGACAGAAATAAATAGTAAATTAAGTGTTTAAGCAAATTAATATACTCTTTATAAAATAATTAAATACAATTTTTAAGTATAGTCAACAGGCTTCAGGATTACTTTGTCTCTGCATAACGTGAAGTCTATCAGGGACTTTTCTGCTTTATACTCGAAGCATCTCACATCATGTATTAATTATTTATTTATTGGAGCTTACAGACACGTCTGGGCTAAGTTACCTCTTTTAATAAAAGTTGAAGCAGAGTAAAGTTTTTCTATTCTGTTTACGTGACACATGGCTGAAAAGCTCTTTCCCCATGGATAAGTAAGGTGCCATTTCCTGCGCAATGTCGCCTGAAGTGCGGAAACTGCGTGACATGTGGAAGGTGTCACCCGGGTCAGGGGAGCATAAAGGTCTGCGGTGACGCCGGTGAGATAGTCAAATGGAAACTATTGACCCCAATGAAACCACAAACTTAGACAATGATCACTGGCAGAGACAGAACAAATATCAATATTCTCCATACATTGGGACAGACTACATAGGGTTGGGTTTGCCAGCAAACGTTTTATGACAGTTTTCCTCCACTTGAGAAATTAACTTCAATTTATGAATTGTTCAACAACACACTGACTGAATATGTCTCAACTAAAATGTGGTCAACACAAAACCAGTCTATTATCAGACAAAACAAGAATGCAGGCTGGATTAGCACATTATGGTTACCTGGGGGAAAAAAGTGTAGGGTTTTTACTGAGCTCTTGTTCCTCCTGCTCTGTGCAGGGGCGCCCCTTGCGAACAGGCTGTAGGTGGTGAGGAAATGCTGGTTCGAGGGGCACCCAGTGAATGTTGGCATATAGGGCCCCCACCGACTCTAGGATCGCCACTGGCTCTGTGCATAGGCTATGTACACCACCCCCTCCAAATCATCATTAGATACATATACACACATTTCTGGAAATTCAGCCTAGCACAAGTTACGTGTGTGTCTATAATAGTTTTTTGGACTACTTAGATAAAGAGCACAAATGTTATTAAAACGAATTTGGAGGCCCAGGACTTCTTCAAGCATTCCAGTTACTGTGCTGTAGTTTTATGAGAAAACAGAAAAGAAGAAAGAAAAAGGGAGAACACACTTGCATTCAGTTACATGACAACAAACCAAATGACAAATGCGGGGCCAGGTTAGTAAATCAACCATAACAATATTTGAATGCCATGCTGCAATATGAATGCCGTTTTAAACTTGTTTTATGTGTCACAGTTACAGTGGCTGCAGCTTAACAGTGATGTCTGCTGGTGGATACATTCTGTTGAACAGTTGGATCTAAAATTACAAAAATAATGTGTGTCACCTGTTATAAAAGGGGTACTTTTAACACATTGAATATTGAATGTGATCATGATGACCTCATATAAAAATTCTAGTTTTTGCATATGAAATATCGTTCAAACATGATGTAGTTATAAATGCACAGTTTTGAGAATCTTAAAACTATTGCTTGCATCCATACAATTAGAAGACTTTTCATGTTTTGTGTGCTCAGTTAAATATGTGTTATCAGGGGGGTAATTGTTTAAGATATTTAAATGTTCTGACTTACTGACATGAACTCTTTAAATTACCCCGGTGCCAACCTCTCAGGCTTTCCGTGGGAACCCTTGGGATCATCTGTAGGTGTTGTGCAGGGTGCAAAGACTACACACCTAATCTACGTGAAACATGGTGACCCCTGACTGCTCCAGGCGTGCTGCACTGCCACTGAACCAGGGACCTGCATTAGACAGACTGTGTACTAATTACAAGGAAGACATTTATTATAATTAACACACTGATTTCCATTCACATTTTACTTTTCACACCTGCATTGATACAACAACCAGTAACATGGCTGTAGAGAGGATCTTTATAGGTGTAAAAGCAATAGAAAAGGTTTTACTGACTGCTTGGGCATTTAAAGGTTACTGAGTCTCACATTTTAATTGAATATTCATACGCAGACCTGACATTAGGAGTTGGAGATGATGTTCTGATAACCTCTTCAACCCTGGCCTGCACGGTCGAGACTTTCCCAGGCCTGGGTGTCAGAGCTAGTGGTTTTAGTAGTGTCACTTACATGGGTGTGAAGTTTGCTCACCTCCAGACTTAACCTAGCCAGGGACTCATGCCTGGTCTGAGGCACTTCTAAACTTTACTGCACAAACTGTAGGTCACCTGACGCAGACATTTCTTAGTGGCTTTATCTACATATATATACATTACCAATTACACATGGTAAACTAGTCGTCTAACTCAATTTTACTGTAGGTTAAAGACATTCATATTTGCTTGGGTAGTACTGGAAATACTTTCAGCAATTTCTTTGTCTAAACTACAAACTTTTTTTAACCATTGCTACTCTATAGTATACTATTTATACTCTATACTGTTATTCATCCCTTCGCTCTTTGGGAAACGATTTTTGGTGTAGCCAAAGTGCTGCAATAAACAACACTTTACTGCGTTAGCAAATAGAAGGCAATAAATTATGTATCGCAAATATAAAAATCAAACACAGGGAAATGTCAGGAGTCATGCTCCGCTCTGTGTGAACAAACCAGTGTTCAAACTGTTCATACTGTCTAAAAAAGCGTTTGAAAACTGCTTTAGTTATTAAGATTGTACATGTTAGATCTTATAGACAGATAAAGTGAAGTTGGCACTTATTGAAATAAACTCAATTAAGTGGCATGTGACTTATTTGTATGAGATTGTGTTACCTGTGTTTTATCATTTGGTTTTACAAAGTATTTCAAGCTACTTTTTCATTGCAACTTTAGTTAAACATTTCGATTCCTACCCCCTGGATAACTTTGCTGTGGCCCAACCTCTTACAATAGTTAGATATTATAATTTTAAAGTAGCTTTTCCAATACAGGTTATATTGGTAACAGTGGGAAATTGATACAAATAAATGTAGCCCCAAAAATGGGTCCCCCAATAGCTGTATACTGGGCAGTGTCAGTCATAGAACGTCCTTTTTGAATGACTGAAGTGTTTACAATAAAATGTACATGCAAAATATGATGAATTAAAATGTATAAATGTATATTTTTGCATGCTTTCTTATACTTACTGAACTTTGTGAACATCTGTGAACTTTGCACAGTTTCAACTTTTGAGACGCACGCTGCCTTTTCCCAGGACCTGGTGCGAAGTTAGGCGTGAGGATTACACACCTAAGGGGTAAACTCTGTTCAGTCCCATGTTTGACCCCTGAGGTCACATGTTTCACTTCTGCCAAGCACACTCTTTGCCTCTGAACAAACCAGCCTGCAGTTATAATTCATAAGTCCTTTTAAAAACAAAAATATAAAGAGATGGAAATCACTATTCCCATGTTCCAGTGTGTTTACTTAAAACTTCCCCCCTGTAGATCATAATTAACATTTTAAAGTTATATTTTTTAGGCAATTGTAATAAAATAAATCATTATAGGGTGTTGCTTGAAATTGAATATTTGTGATCATGCAAACATACTGTCAATGAAGAAGTTACTTTGTGTGATTTACTAACTACAACTAATTTAGATAGTCTGACTGCTGGCCTGCCCTTCTGAACTCTGACTGGGTTCTGGTGTGATCACACACACCCTGATGAGGTGACGAAGTGTGACCCAGTGAAGCCGGTGGCATGCTTCTCACAGTCACACCTTCTCTCTATGGACATGTTGTTTGTTGCCTCATTGCTGCACCAGGTCAGAATACTTTTATTACTGGTTGTGTTTTTAAAGATAGTCAAGCTGTTACCCTAGAGGGGGTACTATGGGGTGTACAAGTTTGTGCAGGCAGAAAGAGATAAGGACAAAAGTACCCAAGCACCCTACTGTGCTAAAATAAACCAGAAACGGTCAAACATGAACTTACAAATGCAGCAAGTATATGATGAAGGAAAGGGGAATTGTTAACAGGAACAATGGCTTTAACCCACATTTTACACTGTGGGATCAGCTTGAAAACATCATGGAAGGTTTTTTATGCTGTTAGTTATATTTATGAATGTTCCTGCTAATTTACAGCTCCAGTGCAGTCCATAAGGTGGCAGTAATGTACCCGCACGTTGGTTTGCAAACCGCCATTAAAAGAAGAAAAAATTGCGCGCTGCTTTCCCATGGATGCATGGGCGCGGGAAGGGGGGTGCTGAGGGCGCTGCAGCACCCCCTAGCGGCAGGCAGGGGGGGCGGAGCTCCCCTG